TAATTCTTGAAATAGATAGTATTAATGCATCTTAGTTTTGCTGTTGTTTGTATTTTTTGTAGATGGGGTTTCACCGCATTGGCCAGGCTGTGTTGAACTCCTGAGCTAAAGCAGTCCACTCGCCTCATCCTCCCCATGTACTGGGGTTACAGGCGTGAGCCTTGGCACTGGCTCAATGTACCACTTTTTTTTGAGATTTGTTTTGGCTATGTTAAGTCCTTTGCTTTTGATGTGAAATTTGGGAATAGGCAGGGTGTGGTGGCTTATGCCTGTAATCCTAGAACTTTGGGAGGCCTAGGTGGGCGGATCGCTTGAGCTCAGGAGGTCCAGACCAGCCTGGGCCCATGGTAAAACTCCGTCTCTACAAAAAATATAAAAAATTAGCTGGGTGTGGTGGTGCATGCCTGTAGTCCCAGCTACATGGTGGGCTGAGGTGGGAGGATCACTTGAGCCCCAGAGGTCAAGGCTGCAGTGAGCTGAGATCACACTACTGCACTCCAGCCTGGGTGACAAAGTGAGACTCTCTCTCATAAAGAAATTAGGATCAACTTGTCAATTTCTACAACAAAAACCCCTGTTAGCACCTTGATTGAGATTGCATTGAATTTATATAAAAATGTTGGGAGAATTGACATCTTGGTGATATTGAGTCTTCTGGCCTATAAACAAGGTCTGTCTTCCCATGTATTAATGTTTCTGTCTTCTGTTTCTCTTAATAATCTTGTAGTTCAGTGTACAGGTCTACCATGTCAGCGTTTCATAGTTTTGATGCTAAATGGTATTTTAAAATTTCAAATTCTAACTGCTTGTTGCTAGTAAATAGAAGTACAATTGATGTTGAACTTGTATCCTTCAGCCTTGCTAAACTGTGAGTTCTCATGGTTTTTTTGTAAATTACATCAACAGTCATGTGTTCTATTAATAAAGAGTTTTACTTCTTCCTTTCTAATCTGAATGCCTTTTATTTCTTTTTCTTGCCTGATTGCATTGGTTAGAACTTCCAGTGGAGTACTAAATATATTGGTCAGAGAAGACACCCCTATCTTGTTCCTGATCTAAGAAGAAAAACAATCTTTCATTATGATGATGTTAGCTCTTAAGTTGTTTGTAGATGTCAAGGGCAGGGCCAGTCGAGATAATTGAATCAAGAGGGTGGTTTCCCCCATACTTTTCTAGTGTTAGTCAATAAGTCTCATGAGATCTGATGGTTTTATAAATGGGAGTTCCCCTGGACATGCTCTTTTGCCTGCCAGCATGTAAGACGTGACTTTGGTTCCTGTCCATTTGCCTTCTGCCGTGATTGTGAGGCCTCCCCAGCGATGTGGAACTGAGTCAATTAAACCTCTTTCCTTTTTAAATTACCCACTCTCCAGTATGTCTTTATTAGCATGAGAACAGACTCACACACCTAGTTTACTGAGAATTTTTTTAAAAATCAGAAATGGATGCTGGATTTTGTCATATCTTTTTTCTGCATCTGTTGAGATGGTTTTGTCTTTTAGTTTGTTAGTCTGGTGAATTACAGTGGCTGATTGATCGATTGAGTTTTCAATGTTACAATTGAGTTTTCAATGTTACAATAAACCCTGCATTCCTGGCATAAACCACACCTGGTCATGATATATTATCGTTTTTGTAGGATTTTATTTGAAACTTTTTTGTAGAATTTTTGCATCAGTGTGCGTGAGAAAGATTGGTCTGTGGTGTTCTTGGGAAAATAGTCCCTCCTTTTCAATTTTTTGGAAGAGTTTTCTAAATAGAAAAAAAAAACTGTTCTGTCACTCAACAACACAGAAGACTTCTGTGACCAAATGTGTGGGGGTTTTCCCCACATACCAAGCTCTGCAGTGGACACCAGGTATGTCCTCTACTTCTACTTCAGTTCCAACACTACCTGGAGATAGCGTCAGATCCCACAGGCTCAGGGCTCAGTCCAAGCTGCCCTCCCTGCAGACGCCGTCACAAGTCTGGGCCTCTGAGATTGTGACCAACTAGCTTCAAGTTGGAGTTCTCATGATCCCCCCTCTTTGGATTCAATTAATTTGCTTGAGCAGCTCATGGAACTCAGAAACACTTAAGCTTACTGGTTTATTATAAAGGATATGGTACAATATGCAGGTGAAAGGATCCAAATGGAAGAGGTACATAGGGGAAGATGTGGGGAAGGCACATGGAGCTTCAATGCCCACCACCCTCCAGGAGCCTCCATATGTTCAGCAATCCGGAAGCTCTCCAAACCCTGTCCTTTTGGGCCTTTTATAGAAATCTCATTAGATAGGCATGATCGATAACCAAGCAGAGAAACGATTGGACAAAAGGTATGATCTAATGCTCATAGTCTGAGTGGCGCCATCCAGCCAGGCCCGTCTGCTCAGGTTCTTAGCCCCTGCTGCAGTCCTTCTTTCAGAGTATGGGGCAGTGCCCCTTCCTATCAGAAAATTTCTTTACAGCCAGCTCCAAGCCAGAAAGGCGGGAAGATTCTTGCCGGGGAGAGAAAAAGAAGCAGGTGAAAGGAGGGCAGAAAGAGAGATTGTCTTCCCTGAGGCCTAAAATGCCCCAGCATTACAACAAAAGACTGCAACGAAGGCCATGGGAGTTATGAACAAGGAGCCATGGATGAAACCAATATATATCTATCATACGTTTTACATACATGGTATTATTTATTTCTTACATGTTTACAGAATTCATATTTAAGCCATCTGGGCCTGAAGTTTCTTTGTGGGAAGGTTAACCACAGTTTTGGCTTAATAAATACATGGCTATTTTGATTATCCATTTTTTTCTTGAATGAGCTTTGGCAATTTATGTATTCTCCATTTTATCTAAGTTACTAAATTTATTTATATAAAGTTGTTCATGGGCTGGGCACAGTGGCTCACGCCTGTAATCCCAGCACTTTGGGAGGCCAAGGCAGGAGGATTACTTGAGCTCAGGAGTTTGAGACCAGCCTGGGCAACATAGTGAGATGTCAGGAAAAAAAAAAAATTGCCAGGTGTGGTGCTATGCACCTGTAGTCTCAGCTACTCGGGAGGCTGAGGCAGGGGTTGGAGGCTGCAGTGAGCTATAATCATGCCACTGCGCTCCAGCCTAGGCAACAGTGAGACCCTGTCTCAAAAAATAGAAGTGTTCTTCATAATATTGCCTTTTGATGCTTGTATATCTGTAGATTATAGTGATAGTACCTGTAGTGGATATCACTTCTCATTTCTGATATTAGTTTTTTTTTTCTTTTATACTGACTGGACTAGAAGTTTATCAGTTTTACTAATCTTCTAAAAGAACATGCCTTTGGTCTACTTTGTCTATTCTTTGTTTTCTATTTCAAGGGTCAACAAATGCTTTCTGTGTATTAGGCTTTCTGGGCCACATGAGCTGTTACAGTCGCTCTGTGTTACTGCTGGAGCACGAAGCAGGCATAGGGAATCGGTGGGTGTAGGGAATCTGTGACTGAGTGTGGCCGTGCCAACCAAACTTAACACAACTGCTCTAGCCTGCAGCATGTTGTGGCCAATCTGTTCTGTTCCTTGGTTTCTGCTTTGATCATCATCATTTTCTTTTGACTTTGGGTTTAATTTGCTCTTTGTCGAATTATTTAAGGTGGAAGCTGAAGTCATTGACTTGAGGCCTTTCTTCTATTCTAAGCTGGGTGTTTGGTGCTGTGACTTTTCTGCTAAGTAATGCTTTCACTCTAGCCCACAAATTTTGATATATTGTTTGCATTTCCATTCAATCCAGAATATTTCCTAATTTCCCCTCTTATCTCTTCTTTGCCTCATGGGTTATTCAGCAGTATGTTGTTTCCAAATATTGGGGGATAGATTTTTTTTCAGGGCACATGTAATAATTTAATTTTTAAATTTTTTTTCACTTTACCTCATTTTTTATTTTTTATTATACTTTAAGTTCTAGGGTTCATGTGTACAACGTGCAGGTTTGTTACATATGTATACATGTGCCATATTGGTGTGCTGCACCCATTAACTTCATCATTTACATTAGGTCTATCTCCTAATGCCATCCCTCTCGCCTCCCCTCACCCCACAACAGGCCCCGGTGTGTGATGTTCCTCACCCTGTGTCCAAGTGTTCTCATTGTTCAATTTCCACCTATGAGTGAGAACATGCGGTGTTTGGTTTTCTGTCCTTGAGATAGTTTGCTGAGAATGATGGTTTCCAGCTTTATATTGTGGGACAGATTTCTAATTTAATTCCATTGTGGTCACAGTACATACATTGTATGGCTTGAATCTTCGTACTTTTTTGAGATTTGTTGGCCCGGAATATGGTCTGTCTTGGTAAGTGTTTGGCTGCATTTGCTTCTGCTGGTGTCGTGTGGTGGGTTCTAGATGTCAGTAGATCGATAGTGTTGTTCAGGTCTCCTGGTTACTCCAATGTCATTACTCCAGCCTCAGACAGAAGCCCAAGTGAAGGAATAAGTGTACTCCTCAATGAGTTTTGACAAATGCATACACCCGTGTAACACAAACTGTACTGGGACTTGTATTTTAATAACTGGTAGAACTAGTCCCCATACATTGCTCTTCTTTCTTTGGAGTTTTCCTAGTTATTTTGTTTGCTTATTTAGTTTATATGTGAAAACTTTAGAATGTCTTGTCCAATTCTGGGGTTGATTGGGGCATGGAACATCTGTATTTTTATTGGGACTAATTACATTTATCAGTAAACTCTGGAGAAGCAGTCATGTTGCCAAATCTTCCAAAGAAACGAACTTTCCATCTGTTCCAGGCTTTGTTGTCTTTCCACAGTGTTGTGACATTTTTCTCCTGCAGAAAGGAGAAGACATGCCTGCTTTGGGATGGCGGATGCCCCAGGAAGAGGGCGGACGCTGAGAACAGAACAGCGTCCGGCTCTCCACAGTGCTGTGGCAGGATATTATTCTTACTACATATTTTGATGGACACATGGGTGTTTCTTATATAACTGTTTTCCTGTATGTTTGAAATATTTTATAGTTTAAAAAATTAACAAACTTAGAAGTCAATTTTAATAGAAAAGAATTTATTGCAAATACAGTGACTTTTTATATTACAGCAGTACATTCCAATCAGCCATATGGCCATAATTGGTATACATTTCAAATATAAAACTATACTTTTTTTCTTTTTACATATAGTACAATTTCCAGTGTGATGACATTTCAATGGGAAAAAGATTGTGCATTTGCAATAAACACCGTCATCCCTGAGTCCACAGATAAGGTCCCTGGAGAAGAAGCTTCCCCTCTTTTCTCGCTGGGTTGACGTTCCCAGCGAGTGAAGCCTTTCTGGAATGTGTGTAGGCACCCGCCACCAAGAGTTCTAATAACCTAAGCTCAAAGCAGAACAATGAAATGGCAAAACTGTACAGAGCCCTGATTTTACGTTTCAATCTGACAGCCGGGTCAGAAGTACCACATGGAAAGTGCTGTCCTTAACTGCTCACTTAGCTGCTCCTTGCTGACAGCTCCCAGAATCTGCCTCCAACAAGTGGCAAAACTGGGAATTTTGCCAAGGAAAATTACTCAGGACCGCTAATAAAAACGCAGGCTTTTGCAACATGCATATTCCCCCAGCCCCCGACCCTGATTTTGCCCAGGGCAGGGCATTAACTGTCTGGGGGGTGAACAAAGAATCCCAATCCTCATATGTCCTAGGACTCATGGCTCATGACCCACGGAAAACTAAGGCATCACAGTGGCTTAATTTAAAAGATGTGCTTCCGAATGAATCCTGGAAAACAATCCGTCTTTACACAGAGAGGGCTGCGGGGGCAATCCTACTGACGAGTTTGTTGAGAGCGCGAACTTTTTCTTCCAAGATGCGGCTTTGTTTTTCGGCGCCTCGCTGCTTCTCCTCAGTGACCTGAAGTGCTCTCACCAGGTGGGCATTCTCCACATACAGCTCCTTCAGTAGCAGGTCGGACTTCGCATTCTTTTCAAACTAGAGAGGGGAGGAAGCCAATACTTTGCATGAGGCCGGTGGAGAAAGGCTACAGATCAGCCTGCTCTCTTTTATCCTCCCACATTTATGCAAACCATAGTTTTGGGCTCTTAGAAATCTGACCCAAGGCCGGGGGTGGGGGCTCATGCTTGTAATCCCAGCACTTTGGGAGGACCTTTGTCCTCCTGACATTTATGCAAAACCTATAGTTTTGGGCTCTAGGAAATCTGACCCAAGGCCGGGTGGGGTGTTCATGCTTGTAATCCCAGCACTTTGGGAGGATGAGGTGGGTGGATCCCAAGGTCAGGAGATCGAGACTATCCTGGCTAACACGGTAAAACCCCGTCTCTACTAAAAATACAAAAAAAAATTAGCCGGGCGTGGTGGCAGGCACTCCGTAGTCTCAGCTACTGGGGAGGCTGAGGCAGGAGAATGGTGTGAACCCGGGAGGCAGAGCTTGCAGTGAGCAGAGATCGCGCCACTGCACTCTAGCCTGGACGACAGAGCGAGACTCCGTCTCAAAAGAAAAAAAAAAAGAAACTGACACAAATACTGCATTATAATGATAGGTTTTGTTACCCTGGCATGAGAGGAAATTGAGAATCTGCTGGGCTATGTGGTGGAGAAAACTTGAGGCAGCTTTGTGCTATGTAACAAGGACTTCAGGGACTTCAGGCCAAAATGGACAGTCCTCAAAAGGCCCTGGGATGGTCAGAGTGTGGAATAGGTTCATCTGCGTGTGCTCTCCTGGCTGTGATGTCAGCAGGGCCATGAGCCAGGGGAAGAAGGGGAGGAAGCAGCCACAGGACAGGCAGTACTGAGGCCCCGAGCTGTGGCCTGGGCTCACGGCCAGGGCAGGTGTGCAGAAGCCACAGGATTTAACCAGAAGTCAGGTGTTACTGGCCAGACAGGCAACTGAGGACTGTGGGTGTGTGCCAGGGAGAAAGGATGAGAGGGACTGGGGGCACCAGCAGGGGAGGGAGCTGGGCAAGGACAGTGGCCCCAGGGAGGGACTTCCACAAATGCCTTGTCTAGTTTGGGCTGAGCTCGGGATCCCTCACGTAGACCAAACCATACTGGATCACGATGGAGCACAAATACTTCTCCAGGTTTTCACATTTCTCTTAATATCTCCTAACAACTGAATGGTACGTGGCCAGGCCTCTTCTGTGTGCACCCCACACCCGTGGGGTCCACCCACACCCTGTGCCATCAGCCCTCGGGGCACAGCACTGCCGCACGTCGGTTCCCAGCTGCTGAGTTGGACTTCGAGCATCCATAGATCAGGTGAGCTGTGGCACCTCATTGTTGGTCTTTGCTCCTTATAGCAGCCCAAGTGACTTTTTCCCTAGTATGGTTTCTTTTAAAAGATAGATCTTGTCATGCTTTTGCTTAAAATCTCACAATGCCTTCTAACTGCCATTATGATAAAACCCAAACCCCTGACCTTGGCTTCCAGGACACACACGACAGGTGCTGCCTACCTGAGCCCTACCAGTTCACACCAGCCATGGCGACCTCCTCCATGGCTGTGCGCTGCCTGAATGCACCCTCCTTGGGGTCCCCCAGACATGAGGAGATGTGTCCATCTCCCACCCAGTGAGCCTTCCAAATGCCACCTGGCCTCTGCCTGGGACACAGCTGGACCTTCCTGTGCTGGTCACTGGGCATCTGTCCAAATGCTGGCTCTTCAAAGTGGCCTTGACCACCCCACCAGCTCCCTTCACCTCTATTCTCTCATTTTCAGAGCAGTCATCATGGCCCAAGGGCATGTATGCTCTATGGAAGCATCTACCTCTGTCTCCAGAGGGTCAGGTCCGGGATGTAGGCTCAGCCCTGCTCATCTCAGGTCCACCTAGGAAAGCTTCAACCAGAGGTGCTCGGGCACGCCCGAATGACTACACGAACAAATGAACGGATGAGTCCTTTCTAAGTGTATGTGAACACCCACGGGACAGATCTTAAAACCATTCCTGAAGGAAAATAAATGCAATGTGCACCTGCAGTGTAGGGTATGCATTTAGTTCCCTGGACTTCCGTGACAAGACAGCCTTTTCCTGTATTAGCCGCCTGCACACCCATAAAAGTGGAGAGCGCTCAGAAGAGAACGCGAGCACGAAAGCAGCAGCACCCATCACTCACCTGCTCCTTCAGCTCATCCACTTTCTCTTGGAGGAGCATTTCCATATTCTTCAGAATCATCTCCGCCTCTTCTACCCGCTCTTCTGTGGCTTTCAGCTGTTTCTCATGTTCTTCCTGCCATAAAAGAAGGTTGCAGGTGGCCAGGCTCACGCCTGTAATCCCAGCACTTTGGGAGGCCGAGGCGGGTGGATCACCTAAGGTCAGGAGTTCAAGACTGACCTGGTCAACACGGTGAAACCCCGTCTCTACAAAAAAATGCAAAATTTAGCCAGATGTGGTGGTGCGTACCTGTAATCCCAGCTACTTGGGAGGCTGAGACAGGGATTCACTTGAACCCGGGAGGTGGAGGTTGCAGTAAGCCAAGATTACACCACTACACTCCAGCCTGGCAACAGAGTCAGACTCTGTCTCAAAAAACAAAACAAAACAAAACGAAACAAAACAATGTCCTGGCCCAAACCACACAGCTTTTCTTTCTCTTTGTCGTTCAGGGAGAATCAGCAGACTCATTTGTCCTCAGAGAACTGGTCCTAAGATTTTAACCATAAATAACTCCAAAGTGAGATTTCCTCGCTGTGTTAGTGTCTTTTTCTAGGAGGATTCTCCTTAACTTTGTTTGTCAATAATGTAGCATCACTTAACTTTAGCTTGACCCCTTTGTGTGATGTTACAAGGTTGTTGTTCATTAGAATTTACACTTTACAAACATCAAATGTTACCCCCTTTTCAAGTCGTGTGCCAATTCCTTTTCCATAAGGGTGTCCCCTGCCCTCTGGCTCCTGATCTCTCCTGAAGTCTGTCCCTGATGAACTATGAACTATGTTGGGAATTTCAGGCGTGAGTTATTCCCTCAGCCTTTTGAATTAAACTCTTGCACAGGGCACAGCGGTGCCGGGGCCTCTTCAAGTGCTCTAAAAGCGCCAACCCATTGATGCCTCCCGATAAGCCTTGAGGTGGACGCCACTGCCAGCAGGACTTGACAGATGAGAAACTGAGGCACAGAGAGGTTCGCTTGCCCAAGGTCACTCAGCTGGGAGGTGGTGGGCGGGATCCCACCCTCCACAGTCCATGCTCAGAGCCACTGTCTCCCATCGCCCACCACCTGCACGGTCCGCGGCACCTGCTGGGCCCGGTCTGTCACCCTCTGCTCTCTGCCCTCGGCCTCCGGTCCCTGCTCCCCTGGAACATGCCAAGTATCCCCTACCCCAGGGCCTCTGCCGCTCCCTCACCTCCTTCAGGTCTCACCACCTCAGGGGCCACCTGTGAGGCCTTGTCTGGCCACCCTGTTTAAAAACCACGCTGCCCCTCTCCCTGCAGCCCTCTTCACCATCTGACATGCTACAAACGTGACTCACATATTCACACTTGGGCAGCTTCTGGGTAACTGAGGACCGCTGGGCCCGCCTCACCCTCCTCCTCATCTCCTCAGCCGCCTCTCACTGCACCCCCACTCACCCGCTGTGCATCCAGGCGCCTCCCGGCCTGCTCTCCCTGAAGGCTGAGCAGGCGCTGCAGCTCAGCCACACGGTCCTGGGGCACCAGCCGGCTCATCTGCTCCTGCAGCTGCCGGACCTCCTGTGAGTGCTGGGCCTGGGCCTGCCTCAGCCTCAGGTGAGCTCCTTGCACCTGCACGGGGGAGGGGACACAGCTCTGGTGGGGCTGCTGAGACGTGGCACAGTGGGGCACCCTCTCCATCCAAGGACACCCCCACCCACAAGGACAAGGAGGGTGTGTGCTCCTGAGTATGCAGCAGCACCTGAAAATTTAGAAGGAGCCCATTTCTTTGGAATTCGGACAGCCAGGCTGCTGTCAGCCAGCGCTTCCACAGGGCTAGAGTGCAGAAAACGTGTCCATCACCCTCAAAATGGTGACGCTGACTTCCCGTCACACTCAGATTCTGCTGCATCCAGTGTTAGCTTTCAGCGAACCTCACTGGGGCCTGATTCTTTTCAAACAATGACCCACGCCAGTCCTTTCAGCGGAGACCCCACACTCTGAAACAGGGCTACACTGGCCACAGACTACCCAAACACCACGGACTGCTAAAGGGAAGGTGGGGCCGGGGCTGGAATCCTTGGCAGCGCCTGGTTTCCTGGATGGCACCGTCTGCTGGAGTTGGGCTGAGTTGTTACGGTAAACTGTGCACCACTATGCCAGCCCCTTTAATTAAGCAGCTCAAGGCATGATCCAAATACAGTTTACATCCAGCCAACTGGAGGCTTCACCAGGATTTCTTTGGCACCCTGTAAGAACCGGCCACGCCACCCCTTACTCTCTTGAGACCCCACAGACGGCGTGGGAATCACACTCCATCGAGGTCACGTTTGGACTGGGCATGGCATCACCGCACGGTGGAGGAAGAGGGAAGGCAACGCCCTGCGCCCACACTGCCAGGCCTGGATTCCCTTCAGTAGTCCCTGCACTGACTCCGCTGAGCTGGGGGCCCGTCTTGGGGGGCCAGGTCATCACTGTAAAGCTCACCCTTCTTCAGGACGGGGGTCACCCCAGAGAGACGCCACCTGCACCCCACATTTTCCAGGCCCTGGGGGGCAGCTTATGGTTTGAGACAGAAAAGGAAGGAAGAACCAGTTCTAAATCACATCTCTACCAAAGGTTCATTTCAGACGGTCACTCTGGCTGCTGTCCCCTAGACCTGCAGGACTCCCAGGCATCAAGCACATCTACCCACCCAGGAAGGCTCTGGCCCTGCACCCCGACCCCCTCAGCTCTGATGCTTACAGGTCCTTAGGCTGCACCACCCCCCACCACCATCCTGGGATCGAACCCCCACGAATTAAGCCCCTCCATAGCATGGCCTGGGTCCAGCCCAAGGGGGGTCTCTGCCCATGGTGGGCAGCCTTTAAACATCTACTGATGTGCTCTTCATCTCCTTCCAGTGCTCTTCATCTCCTTCCTCAGCAACGCGAGACAGGCCACATCTACAGACCTTGACAGTCACAGGGACAAGGAAAGACATCCCCAGGGGAGCACTGGAAACAAGGACATTTGTGTTCCGGGTCCTGGAGGCAGAACCTCAGACGGGGCATCATCTCCCACCCTGAGTGCAGCCACCCTTCCTGTCCTTCCCGTGGAGAGGGCCCTGTGGGTCCCCGTCCCTTTGCCCTCTGAGCTCCCCTGGGAGACCCTCCACCCTCTGAGCTCCTCTATGAGGCCCCATCCCTCCTGTCTGCTCTGGCCTCTGGGGCCTTCCTCCTGAGCCACACATGGGCATGACAGTGACTGCCCTGGCTTCCCTCCCACATGGAAACGGTGACCACATCAGCTTCAGGCCCAGCCTCTTGTGGCCACTCTTAGGGAGCCCCGTCTGCCTTTTCCAGAGTGCCCTGAGCTAGCCTGGAAGCTCCCAGCTTCCTGATGCTGACTGGAAGCCACTTGCTTTGGGGGAACATCTTCCTCTAAATCATGAGGAAGAAGGGGTGACCCACATGGCTGCAGGGCAGACTCGGTGAGGTGCTTCCCGACTGAGAGGCTGGTGGCAGGCATGGCCTCAGGGGTGTGGAATCCTCTCCCTTGGCCCTAGCGGTGCCGCCAGCACCAGGTGCTAAGGAAGTGCCGGCCTTTTCAGGTGGTCTTACTCCTCAGCCTCAAAGGACTCGAACTGGCCCAATTTTCCAGGGTTCCTTTTAGACTCAAAAGTAGAGAAGGATGCCCCAAATAGGCAGAGCACCTCTGGGAAACTGATAGACTGTAGCTGCAAGGCCAAGAGCCTATGGGAGCCCCAACAGCACCCCAGAAAGCTCTGGGGTCCGTGCCCAGCTGACCCCTCTGTGTCTCAGGACGTCTAGGGGGTGCCTCTGCACAGGGCGCCAGGGCCAGCACTGCGGAGGACTGGGTGCAGAGGCTCAGCCAAGCCTCACAGGCAGGCGGGGAGAGACCCTTTCCCACAGCCCCCTTTCCTCTCTGAAGCCCCCAAGCTTCCAAGTGTGCCCTGCACCTGTGTCCACACTGGGCACTTGCCCTCGGGGCACCTTTGGCCGCCACACACCTGCCCTTCTCCTCTCCCTTGAGCCACCCCTCCACAAGCATCCCCTGAGCTGGCTCCCCTCCCTGAGGCCCCTGCTCGGCTGCCCCTGCACACACCTGTCTGTCCCAGACCACGAGCTCCTGCCACCGTAGCCCAGCCTCCCGTGTCTGCACCTCCCGCGCCTCTCACCTGCAGGGCCAGCAGGTGTGGCACCTGGAGGTGTGTACAGAGGCCAGTGTCATGCATGTCCATGAGTGCCCATTTCACCCCACCCCCAGGGCTGGAGCCTGCTGCCTTGGTTCTGATGACACAGTCCCCAGGCTTGCCTCTGGCTCCTCCATTCTGTGGAGGGCTCACCCAAAGGCATGGTGATCGCACTCCTTCCCTCGGGAGTAAACTGAGTCACCACTCTTCACG